TATAAGCTATACGACGCGTGCGAAATGCCCAGGAGCGGCTCGAGGGGCTGACTTTAATTGGCTACCCTTTGCGCGACGTGCACACGCGAGCGGGTAGTTTGTTCGGGGGGACAGGAAGAATTTGTTACGTTTAACCATGTGCTTGTACGAGGAGGGAAAAGTTTTTGTTTGGATAGATTTGGCGATTTTTGAAAATCATGTGCCGCATTTACCTGAAGTTGAACGTTAATTGCCGACCACGGGTATTTCCCTGCGAATTCCGGTGCGTTTGGGTAAGCATCGCGTCCCCCATTGTCGGATCGAGATTTTTACATTTTTCCTCCTTCGCACATGCGAAGCTAAACTCTGCTGTAGTGTATACAAGGACCCGTTAGCTCGGACACGGCCCCTCAATTAATTTTCCGCCGAGATACAAGCCAAAAATAAACGATAACTCGTTGAAAATTCGAACTACGTGCACGGCCAGTCGTTACACCATAAGGCTTCGTGCATCGATAAATTTCCATCGAGCTATTATGCGGTATGGTGTGTCTTGCACGTTTGAATAGCGGAGATTAGAAAATGAAAGAAGTCATGCAAGAGAAAAAGGACCGTGTCGGTGCGTGCAAAAATTTTGTAACAAATGCCACCGGCTGGACGGACGAAGAGAGAAAAAAAAGAAACGTGGATATAAATCACGTGGGTCTTTTGCAAAAAAAAAAAACAAAAAAAAAAAATTTGCACTTGCGTTGTAATTTATGCTCAACCCATCAATTTTTATTAACCATCACGAGTAGTATCGAGTCTCAAATTTTTTTTTCTCCGGCACCACATAACTGGTTATCAAAGGTACGATAAAAAGGCAGTAGTTTAAAATGTAAAAACCCCCAGAGATGATGAAAATATTAGTGGGAGAAAAATAGATGAGACATCTGAAATCTCTATGGAAAGAAAAAATCAATTCCTCCCCTCCATAAGGTTGCACCGGGAATTTAGAGATAAAACGACGGCAACGCAGACTTCCCCGATACTCTCTTGATTAATCGAGCTTCCCTTCTCCCTCCCTCCCTCGTATCATCCCTCGCATAAAAAAAAAAAAAAAGTTCCAACGAGAAGGCTCGTAATACTCCCCGCATCGAGAGATACCCTCCGATTCTACCCCCCTATTATTAATTTTCTCCCTCACCGTTAGCGGGCACGACATCTCCGGCGTCCCGTTTTTCCTCCTCCTCCTCATCCTTCTCGGTTTTTGCAATCGAGTCGACGAACAGCAGCTCCCCTCCCCCAAGGCCACCGGTCACGACCGCGCGCCTCGACTCGTCGGCTCTCCGGTCGCGTTCCTCGTTCAGTCGCCTCAGGAGACGCGTCACCTGTTCAACGAGGCTCTGCACGTACGCGAGCAGCTCACCCGTGCCACCCTCGCCCCTACCCGCGTCCTCCTCTGCCAGCCGACCTGCCACCCTCAGGGCGCACACCGCCTCGACGAACCGGCCAAACTTCAACAACACCTGTCCACGCAACAACTGACCCCGCAGCGTCCACTTGCGCGACTTCACCTCCGAGGCCAGCTCCAAGCTACGCTCCGAGGCCTCGAGCGCCCGGCTGAGGTTCCCCAGCTCGAGGTGGCACCTCCCCAGGTCGTGGTACAGCCAAGCTTGGGCCACCTCCTCCTGATATTACATTGGCCAACCCCATCGTGCATACACATATATGCATATATGTATACAATATGTTTAAGCCATAAGTGTTGGCGTGCGTTGTACACGTACCGCGTGGATGTCGCCGACCAGCCGTTCCCAGAGCTTGGCGAGAGCGTCGAGGTGCCCGAACGCGACGTGGGCCCTGCCAAAGGCGACGAGTGCCCGGACGAGCGAGTCGGAATCTGCTGAGCTCCGCGCCAGGAAGACCATCCTCGCGGCCATGTCCACGGCTCGGTCGTGCCTGCCCACGGCCACGTGCTTCTCGGCCAGGTAGCCACAGGCGGCGACGAGGTTGCGACTCGGGGCGTCGGTCAGGGAGACGAGGTTGACGAGCTCCTTGCCGAGCTCGTGCACGGCTCCGGCATCGTGGGCGCGCTCGAGCTCCCGCACCGCCGATCTCACGCACTTGCTCAACTGTCGCTTCGCCCCGGCGTGGGGCGCCGACGGCCCCGGCAAGCGCCAAAAGTCCTTCCTCGCGTCGAAGAACCTTTACGTGCAAGGCGTTTCTCAACCCGATGGGCAATATCTTAGCTGTACGTATAGCGTGTGATGATTCGAGCTTGTGCACTATAATATACGCGTACCTCGTAAACTACGTCCAACTTTTACCATTATTACAATTGTACAAATGGTAAACAACGATAAAATCAATGAAGCACAGTAATTTTTACCATTTCTTTGTTTCTTTTTTTTTTTTCTCTCACCCACTTTTATAATATATACACATATACCGTTGTAGCCTTCGGTTATTGTATAATAGCGCATATAGAGCTGGTCTGCGGCTTATTTGTTCGCGCGTACAAGGTATATATCTATACACATGTACATCCGACATGACGTAGCGTAACACAACTTACACACACGTATAATAGACTTTGGGCTATTCATAAACTACCTACGTGTATGATGTTGCCTCGTTATACAATGCACACACGCGTTGTACGTAATAAAGTAGTTTGCGTTTTGATCATCACGGTACGCCGCAGTACAAATTTCACCACAAAGGGATGGAGGTAATATAAGGAAACAATGTACATTCAAGTATAGACACAATATATTGTATAACCGTGGGCGATTAAGCGTTGAAGGAAAAATTTATGAGCTTTAAGTGGCAAAAGTGTATAAAAATAGCCTCACTTGAGGATCTCGGGTATTTGCCGTAGGGGATCCGCCGCCTCGCCGACGATGGCCCGAGCCCGATGAGCCGCTGCTTCGGGGCAGAGGACAGCGGGCACCTGGGCGGGACTACGGGCCTCGCGGAGTAGTCGCGCGAGCTCGTGGGGTGGGTTGGTCGCCGAGGTTATAGCGGCCTCGGTGCGCCGGGCCGCCACTGCGTGAGTCGCCTCGTGCGGGTACAGCCGGGCGGCGCGGTGGTAAAGCGCGAGCGCCGACTCGTAGTCTCCTCTGTGGAATTTTTTTTTTTTTTTTTTTTTTTATTGTCACCGCTAATTACGTGTTGGTTGTATATGTACACTAGTTTGTTGATAACTCGCGTTTGGTCAATCAAATTTTTGGGATACGAACTTAAAACAAACTAATTTCAGCTTTACGTGGCACTTTTTTTCGTTTCAAGGGCCGTCCCTGCATGGGTATTGTCCATATTCTTTATTTTTTTAATATCACATTTTTATTGTATTTAATCGTACAAAATTTATATCCATTATTCATACGTGGAATAAAGGAACAATAGTAAATTCTTGTAGCTTATCTAGTACTTTTGTTCATCAAATGCCTCGTTGGTGTGGCTATACCTGCAAGATCGATGAGTGTCACTATGTGGGTTGTTTTGACTTACATGAAAATATCATTTCGTTTTTTTTTTTATCCAACTGTATCAAATTGAACAAATCCACTCGTATACGTGAAATTTTAGAATCATCGCTCGACACTGCGATATTGATACGATGCACCCGTAATGTAGCGATTTAGCTCGAGTCTCGGTGAAAGTGATAAATTAAACTCGAAATAACTTTCTCACGCGTACACACTCGGCTACATACACCGAACCGTGTCACTTAATACTCGTAAAAGTTTTTTTCCCGTTTTTACAGCCAATAGCCAACACATGTTGCAACTAGCGCGAGTGCGCGCAAAGAGGGTCAACTATGTAATACTACCGGTAGTATATATATATACGCGTAACACATCGGGTGAAAAGTTTCCATCGTAAAATATATATTTCAAGGCTTCGCGTGTATCATCGAGACGCGACGTTTCGCGGAGTTCCCTCCTCTTGACTGGGCCGTTTTATATACCTATACACGTGTGCAGTCCACTGAAATGAAATACAGAAGTCACGTGTATATTATATATATACCGCACGCGTTTATTTATCCCGTACTCTATACATTTAATATTGTAACCTCGCGCGCGTCATCACTTCCATTCAAGTTCATCGTTGGGACGCGCATCGACGCGAAATCGATTTTTCATCGGACGCCAAAACAGATTTCGCTACGCGTCACGCGTCCGATCGAACGGAGACATCGAGCCAACGGGCGTGAAATGACATTCATTTGGGTACTCCCGTGTACAGGAAGTTCCGTGTGTGTGTGGGGGGGGGGGAAGGATTCGAGCGTGTATACTTGTAGTAGAGCCGATCGGCCTCGCGGTGGAGTTCGTTGGCACGGGCGCGGCTGTAGCCCCGGTTGTCCTTGGACCTGGCGGTCCTGGCCTCGACCTCGGCGATCACGACCCGAGGCTTCTCGAGTTCGCCCAGGTGGTCCTCCTTCAGTATAACGTCCGGCAGCACCGGGATCCCGGAGCGTCGGCGACGTTTGCTCGAGCCTGCCGGAGACATGACGCGCCGCACAGTAGCTGTATACGACTCGGTTTACTGATGTGTGCGAGGGAACTTGGGTTTGGCAGCTGTCGACGACCGGTGGCGAGTGAAGGTAGCCCTACATCTTTGGATGATTTTTCTTTGTTTCCTTCGATCGAAGTACAAGTGCACCCGGACTCGGGCACGCGTTTTTTTTTTTTTTTTTTTTTTTTTTTTTTTTTTTTTTTTTTTTTTTTTTTTTTTTTT